CTCTGTGAAATTCATCCTTAGACTGACTCCTCGTCATGCCTAAATGCACAGATACACCTTCCTGAACAATCTTCTCTACCCTCTTTAGCTTTTCAAGGATTAAGAAATACAGAGGTTAGCATAATCTGCAGCGAGAAGCCATGGAACCAGATAGTGAACTTTGAGAAAGTGATTTAATCTCTCTGAGCCTCCATTTTCTGGTCTGCAAAACAGGAGTAATGATACAAACTTCATATGGGTAATGTGAAAATTAGAACTACAAGGAGATGGATTGACACAGTGGCAGCAGCAATGGGTTTAAGCATAACAACAATTGTGAGGATGGCACAGGACTGGGCAGTGTTTCATTCTGTTACACATAGGATCGCTATGAATTGGAACTGACTCGATGGCACCTAATAACAAAAATGCCATTTAATGAGAACATGCAGTAGAAGACCAATAAAAGGGAAATTCCTTTTATCATAAAAGACTTATGCTCCCTACAAAGTTCTTTCTAATTGCAAAGGGAAAAATATATTCAAGTGCCCAAATTTAGCATCACCAAAAGTAGGACAATTTTACAGGTTGTGTTTTCCAGTGTGGTACTCAAAATCCCTGGTGGAGCAGTGGTTCAAGCACTCTGCTGCTAACCAAAAGATCTGCAGTTTGAACCCACCAGCCACTCCACAGCAGAAAGATGTGCAGTCAGCTTCCTGAAAGATTTACAGCCTTGGAAACCCTATGGGGGCAGTTCTATCCTATGAAGAGGAAGGAATTGACTTGACAACAGTGAATTTTAGTGTGATATACTGACTTATTCAGCATCCCTGATCAAGCATTCTGTCCAAAAATGCTTAATATTCCTAATCAAGCTTCCAGGCCAACACTGGAAATAGACAGAAATGTCAATAGACATTTCTCTGACAGTGAAAATGTGCTTTATCTGTGTTGTCCAATAACTAACCCACTAGTAAGGTGTGGCTACTGAGGACTTGAAATGTAGCTAGTGCACCTGATGATCTAGATTGTAAATATATTGAAATTAAATTGATTTAAGTTTAAATAGCCACATGTGTTTATTGGCTATCATATCAGACAGCCCACTTTTAGACTCAACCTCTAGTCTTTAAAAGATATAAGGGATGGAAAACGAAATCACATTGTTGTTCTCAGTTGCTGTTGTGAATGCCATTGAGTTGGTTACGACTCATAGTGACCATGTCTAGGGTTTCCAGGAAGCGGCTGTTTGGTTTGAAGTGCCAACCTTGCGGTTCAAACCGACCTTGCAGTCACATGCATTATCCTGCTGTGCCACACTGGTTGGTGGGTGCCATCAAGTCAGTTCAATAAGAACAGAACACTGTCCAGTCCTGCACCATCCTCACAATTGCTATGTTTGAGCCCACTGCTATAGGTATTGTCAATCCATCTCTTTGAGGGTCTTGCTCTTTTAAACTGACCCTCTACTTTACCTTGCATAGTGTCCTTTTCTAGGAACTGGTCCCTGCTGAGAACATGTACAAAGTAAATGAGACCAAGTTTCACCAGCATTCTAGCTGTACTTCTTCCAAGACAGATTAGTTTGTTCTTCTGGCAGTTCAGGAAATAGTCAATATTCTTCTCTAATACCATAATTCAAATGCATCAAGTCTTCTTTGGTCTTCCTTTATCATGGTCCAGTTTTCCATCCATACAAAGAGATTGAAAATGCAATGACTTGCACAGACACACCTTAGTCCTCAACATGACATCTTTGCTTTTTAGCACTTTAAATAGATATTTTGCAGCAGATTTGTCCAGTAAAATCCATCAAGTGATTTACTGAACTCCTCCCATAGGCATTGATTGTGGATTCAGGTAAAATGAAATCCTTGAAAATTTCCATCTTTTCTCCATTTATCATGATGTGGTTTATTTGTCCAGTTGTGAAGATTTCTATTTTCTTTATGTTGAGGTGAAATGCACACTGAAGGTTGTAACCTTTGGTCTTTATCAGTAAGTGCTTCAAGTTCTCTTTGCTTACAGTAATCAAGGTTGTGTCATTTACACATTAACTACTACAGATTTAAAGTGTTTTTTAACATCTTTATCAACTTTTAAATATTCAAACATACAGAAAACTTAAAAGGAGAGTCAACAATTTTTAACATTATGCTATATTTGTTTTTATATTTGTCCAACTATTTGACAAATAACCCAATCCTGATGCTATAGTCTACTTCATATACTCCAGCTTCTCAGATTATTTGCTCAGTATGCAGACTGAGTAAGTATGGTGAAAAGATGCAATCCTGACACACACCTTTACTGATTTTAAACTCCTCTGTATCCCATTGTTCTGTTTGAAAGACTTACTACAGGTTCTGCATGAGCACAGTCAAGTGTTCTGAAATTCCTGCTATTTAGAATCTTATCCATAATTAATGATCCACATGGTTGAAAGCCTTTGCACAGTCAATAATATATAGATAAACATCTTTTTAACTAGACTTTATTGTTTATGGTATTTTCTACTGTCAGCCAAGATACATCTTACATCAGCAGTGGTATTCCTCATTCCAAATCTCTATTGAATCAAGCTGGAATTTCTGGGAATTCAATGTACATATACAGCTGCAACTGTCTTCTACAAAATTTTACTTGTGGTAATGTTAATGATATTTTTGATAATTTCTCAAGTTTTTGGACTACCATTCTTAGAAATGGGTATTAATATGGATCTCTTCCTATAGGTTGGCCAGGTAGCTATCTTCCAAATTTCTTGGCATAGATGAGGGAGAGATTCTAGCATTGTATCTGTTTGTTGAAACATCTCAATTAGTGTCCCACCAATTCCTAGGAACCTTGTTTTTACCAATGTCTTTAGTACAGCTTGTATTTCTTCCTTTAATGCCATCAGTTCCTGGTCATATTTGTTGTTGTTGTTAAGTGCCGTTGACCTGGTTCTGACTTGCAGCGACCCTGTATAGGGTTTCCAAGAAACATTTGGGAGGTATGAACTGCCGACTTTGTGGTTTGCTGATCCTAGAGCATCACACCAGGAGTCCTTGATCATATGCTACCTACCTCTTAAAATGGTTGGAGAGTCCTGGCGCGGCACTACAAGATAATGCGCTGGATTCCAATGTCAGTTTGAACTGCAAGGTTGATGGTTCAACCTCACCAGCTGCTCCTAAGAAACCCTATGCAGGGTTGCTATGAGTTATAACCAACTTGACAGTATTTAACAACAACAACAACAACAACTGAATATAAACCAATTCTTTTTGGTACAATAACTCTGTCTGAATTTCTTATTCCATTTTTTCAGCTTGAAAGATGCCAAGTGTGTTCATCTTTTTTGTTTGATAATTCCAGGTCTTTACACATTTCATTATAACACTTTACTTTTTCTTGTCAAACCATCCTTTGAAATCTTTGGTTCAGCTCATTTATTTCATAATTATCTACCATTTTCATTAATTACTCTACATTCAAGTTTTAGACTGCTTTCCAACATCTGTTTTGGTCTTTTCTTTCATTTTTGTGTTTTATGACTTTTGATTTCTTTGTGTTTGGTGTCTTTGATGTCATCCTTCGGATCATCTGATCTTCACTCACTGGTGTTTAAAGCATTAAATCTGTTCCTGAAGTGGTCTCTAGATCCAAGTGGGATAGACTCAACATCTTATTTTGACTTTGTAAACTTATTGTAATTTTCTTCAGCTTCAATTTAAACTTACATATGAGCAATTAATGGTCTGTTCCTCAGATTGCTCTGGCTTTGTTCTGACTGACAATATTGAGATTCTCCATTGTGACTTTCAACATATTTGGTCAGTTTGATTCCTGTGTTCACGTGTGTAGTCACCATTTATGCTGTTGGAAAAGGTGTTTGTTTTGTTGGTTTTGCAAAATTCTAAAAGTTGTTGGTCTTGCAAAATTCTATCATTCATAATGCCTATAAAACTTCTAGTAACATTTGAGTAAAAATGAATTTGGAATGGATAGTAAATGATTCCCTCAAATAATTAATTTTCTTGCATATGGAAATGACTCTTATTCTTAAGAAATATGAGCTAAAGGAGGAATGCAAGATATACAATGGATAGAGATAAATACAGTCCACTGATGCTACATGGAAGCGATTGTAATCATTCATGAAACGAAGTATAGGGTATGCTGAATGTAAAACTGACGATCTGCGCTATAAACCTGCACTTAATTCACAATTTAAAAAATGTTTTTTTTTTTAAAGAAAATGTGATCAAGTATATAAGGGTGACATGCTTTGACTTCTGCAGTTAACCTACCAAACAGTTGGGCAACTATAGTAGAATGTTTAAAATTGTTGAATCTTGGTGAAGAATCTGTATTTGCTGTACTGTTCTCTCACATTTTCTGTATATTTGATAATTCAAACGTTGAAGAGACATAAAAGACAACTGTTTAATATCTGCAGACTGTTGTTATGGTGGGGAAAATTAGATGCTTCTTAACAGCTCTTTGGAGATGAAGGCAGGAGAAATCCAATTATGTCTCAGTAGCACCTTGGTCACGATTGAAATAGAAAGATCGGAAGGTTATTTACCAGGACCTCAATCTTCCCTAGGTCTCTGTACATGTGTGTACATGCACACAGAAACAAGCACACACAAATATCCCACAGGCCCTTCTCCCCATCTTTTTCCTAGCATTCAGACTCCTTTCCGTCCTCTCTCCGTTCTTGATCTGCTCCAACTATTTTGCCTCCCCGTGCCTGAGGCACTTTCATGATGAAACGTGCCAAGAAGCCCTACAACTCAAGGACTCTACGACACAGAAGAGGGTGCGGGCCACTCCACCATTAAATCACATTTTGGAGAGGCGTTGGACCCTGGCTAACCGCCCAAGCCCATAAAGTGGCAAATTGTCCCAACTCCATCTGCATAGCCAACCCCCTTCCAAATCTGAGCATAAATAAGGCTGGGGAGCCCAGAGGAGCACATTCGAGTTTCCACCTGGACTTCAGAACTTCATCCTACCCTCTGCACCCCAACCCTACAGAAGCACCATGACCTGTGGATTCAGTGGCCGCGCCTCCAGCAGCATTTCGGCCTGTGGGCCCCGGCCCGGCCGCTGCTGTATTACCGCCGCCCCCTACCGTGGTATCTCCTGCTACCGTGGCCTCACTGGGAGCTTTAGCAGCCACAGTGCCTGCGGAGGCTTCCGCTCTGGCTCCTGCGGACGCAGCTTCGGTTACCGCTCTGGAGGCGTGTGCGGGCCCAGCTCCCCCTGCATCACCTCCGTGTCTGTCAACGAGAGCCTGCTCATGCCCCTCAATCTGGAGATCGACCCCAACGCACAGATTGTGAAACATGAGGAGAAGGAGCAGATCAAGGGTCTCAACAGCAGGTTTGCTGCCTTCATTGACAAGGTGAGTTTCCTTGATCACACCTTTCCTGAACCCCAACCCATATTCAGAATTTAGACTTTGAGGCACAACCTCAGAGTCAGGAAACTGCCCATAGAATTCTCAGTTTGATGAAGGAAGCAACAGAGCCAGAAACTCCAATGAAGAAGATGAAGCCATTATACATAGCTTTATAAATCAAGTAATAAACACACAGATAATATAACAGAATCACAATATACCTCACCACCTCCCACCACCCAATTGATGGATGAGAGTCATAGAGCCAAGGAAAGGCAAGAGGTGCCAATCTAATGAAAAGGTGTCTTTATATACTCAGCACCCTCAGACAAGGGCAGTTCCTGAAGCTCCCAGTTCAGATATTACCCTAAGAACATGATGTGTCCTGAGCTCTTAGTTCTGAGGCGATATCAAAAGAAAGGGAAACCTGAACCCCAAAGGAATAATCAAAGCACCAGTAAACTGATTTTTGGGTCTGTGATCCCCAAAATAGAAGGTAAAGACAATAAGATATTGAGTGCCTTCTGCACAGTCCCCAGGGACGCTGTTCCTGCTTACCATCAGCTATAAGGGGTTTCTTCTGATCGGAGGGAGAAGGTCAAGTTTGAAGCAAACATCTGACTCCTCCTGGCTTCAAGGAGCTCTGATAGGTCTAGATCCATGTTATCAGATTCCTGAGGACCCAGGTACCTAGATAAATCCTCTCAAAAAAGCAGAATCATAAGTTCTCCCTTCATTACTTTAAAAAAACTGAGTACCACTCCGTAGTTGCTCTGTGCTATTTTTTGGAGCTCCAAATATATACTGAAACATCTAGATGTTGTCCAATAGCCTATTGGTAGCTTTCTGAATCCAAAATCAGATATTGCTCAATAATTTGTTGAATTCCTTTGAGAAACCCAAGATTATGTTCAGTTTCTAATTGGCTATTTTTTACCCATTTTCAGTCTTTACCAGTATGTCAGCCACTGGCCTGAGTTGCTAGCACTTCAGCGAATCCCCATCTCTGAAAACTGTTGGGGGCAATCTGACTCTTCCTCCCATTTCACGGCAGGTGCGCTTCCTGGAGCAGCAGAACAAACTGCTGGAGACCAAGTGGCAGTTCTACCAGAACCGCAAGTGCTGCGAGAGCAACCTGGAACCCCTGTTTGATGGCTACATTGAGACACTGAGGCGGGAGGCTGAGACTGTGGAGGCTGACAGTGGGAGACTGGCCTCAGAGCTCAACCACGTGCAGGAGGTGCTGGAGGGCTACAAGAAGAAGTGAGTGCAGCAGACAGCAGTTCTGCTTTGACAATGAGCCTCTGGGCCAGATACACCAGCCTTACAAATACCTTTTGTCCATTGAATGAAGACTAGTAGCTGTTTAGAGCTGGAGATTTGAAATCTCGGTTTTTTGTTAATTTCCCTAGACAACTTCTCAGAAGGTAGGAATTTACAGAATTTGTGTTTGAACAGACATCACTTGGATTGCCCAGACTTTCTCAAAATTCTTCAATCCTTTGACCTCTCCAGCTTTGTGGGTTTCTGTTTGGGAAATCAGAAACTTAAACCAAAATTAGGATGAGTGGACTAGTAAGAATTATCTCAGTCTTTGCAAGAGATTTGTCCTTAGAGAGATTTGACAAAGCCCATGCAATATTGCACGAGTGTTTATGGAGCAGGTAGTGTCTATGAGGACTACAGGAAACATAGAATTTAATAGAATGTTTAAACCCTGCATGAACTTCAAGCCACAAGGCTGTGGAGGATTTCCCTGGGGCTGGGAAATCCTTTTCCAAGGAGAAGGAACAGGTGGGAAGCCCTTTTAAAGCAGGACCCAATCTGCTCAGGAGAAGGAATCTCACTCAGATCCCACCCCTGTCTCTCGAAAGAGCCTTTTCTAGAGACCTGAGAGAAAACTAATGCCTTCTTCATCCCTCTCCCCATGTCAGGTACGAGGAGGAAGTGGCTCTGAGAGCTTCGGCAGAGAATCAATTTGTGGCTCTGAAGAAGGTGGGTGTCCATCTGGTGATTCTTTGTCGAGAGGCCAGGTGGGGCATTAAGAGTATGGAAAGATTGCCCTTAGGGTCTCCAAGGCTAATGGGGACACTGGCTCAAGGACCCAGTACACAGACCTAAACAGCCAATCATAAAGCCAGGAGTAGTGAGTGAGAAGAGGGGTGCCAGAACAAGCTTCCTGTGGTGTGAGGAGATGGCTTGAAAAAAGAGTGAGTGACAACATAGGAGGAAGACAGCCTATTCCAATGGCAAATGTCCAATGTCAGGCTTATAATGGGTTGAGAAAAGATTGACTTGGACTTTAAATGAAAAATTGTACTCAGAGAGCCCCAGGGACCCTGGGAGAAAAAGGATAAGCAAATTGAGATAAACAGGGAGGCTGTTTCATGGCACGTGACTCCTGTGTAGTGGGTAAACATATAATGCAAAGTTCTGGTGACACTGAAGAGGACATTAAGAATTTGGAGACAGGGAGAATTTCAGGAAATTTGATTTCTTTCTTTTCTGACTCCCAGATCCATAAAAAGGGATTTGGTCATAGCAAAGTGGAGGACTCATTTATCTGGAGGTGCTGTCTTAGATGTTAAGATGAAATGAATGGGTGCATGGGGCCAGGGTTGGTCAGGACAGTGGGATGCATGGCTGTCTAGAATGGTCAAGGTAAATCCTGCCTAGAGACAGGGGGATGGAAAAGTGACCTTACAAAGCTGCAGTGGACCCCAAGAGCCTATCATGTCTCGTTCTTACACAGGATGTGGACTGCGCCTATCTTCGCAAGTCAGATCTGGAGGCCAATGTGGAGTCTCTGACCCAGGAGATTGACTTCCTGCGACATCTGTATGAGGAGGTGAGAAGGCAGAAACAGAAACCCTGGAAGCCAGTCTAGAGGAGAAGGACTTAAGCCTAGTGTTGAGGTGTCAGACAGGGGTTTGGCTGAGAGCTGCAGTCCATGATGCTCACTGCAGGGAAGATACTGGAGCCCAGGGGTGCTGTGAATTTGGGTCCGTCTGTGGTGGGTGGGGCTATGTTCTAAAGTTTCTGCTGTCTCCCTTCCTCCACCCCAATCCCTGTAGGAGATCCGGGTTCTCAACTCCCACATTTCAGACACCTCTGTCGTGGTCAAAATGGACAACAGCCGAGACCTGAACATGGACTGCATCATCGCCGAGATCAAGGCTCAATATGATGACATCGCTAGCCGAAGCAGGACTGAGGCTGAGTCCTGGTACCGCAGCAAGGTGAGTAATTGATGGAACTTGTCTCCTAGACAGGGCAGTGACAAGAAGCATGGAATAGAAAAGTCTTCCTTTAACTGGGGATTCTGATGCACTAGACAGTGCGGGGGGCGGCGGGGGGGGAGGTCCTTCCCTAGTGATGGATAAAGGGAGAGCAGACAGCTCTCCTTGGGGAGGTACAGTCAGAATTGACATGTGAGGCTGTGCAGGCTGAGCAATGGACAATCTGCACCACCATTCCTGCTATCCTGATGGACTTCCCTGTTCCCTCCCGCAGTGTGAGGAGATGAAGGCCACAGTGATCCGGCATGGTGAGACTCTTCGCCGCACCAAGGAGGAGATCAACGAACTCAACCGCAAGGTCCAGAGGCTGACTGCTGAGGTGGAGAACGCCAAGTGCCAGGTATGGGTCAACCTGTGTCCAAAACCAGAGATGCTGAAGGCCTTCTCAGTGCCACACAGTCAGTGACTGCACAATCTCTCCATTAATTCTCTGGTGTGGCCACTCAGAGAGATGCAAGAGAGGAAGGAGAGGACATATTCTGGGAGATTGGTCAAGTGAGTCATCTTGTTCTCTTCTACCCCAGAATTCCAAGCTGGAGGTCGCAGTATCCCAGTCTGAGCAGCAGGGTGAGGCAGCCCTCAGTGATGCCCGTTCCAAGCTGGCTGGGCTGGAGGATGCCCTGCAGAAGGCCAAGCAGGACATGGCCTGCCTACTTAAGGAATACCAGGAGGTGATGAACTCTAAGCTGGGCCTGGACATCGAGATCGCTACCTACCGGCGCCTGCTGGAGGGCGAGGAGCACAGGTGGGGCCCAATCTTGTCTGACCCAGAGTTGCCCTTCCTTAGTTCTTGCATAAAGAGCCCCGGTGGCACTAAGGTTAAGCACTCCACTGCTAACTGAAAGGTCAGCAGTTGGAACCCACCAACAACTCTGTTGGGAAAACCTGGTGATCTGCTGCCGTAAAAATTACAACCTAGGAATGTCTATTTGTTGTTGTTGTTAAGTGCTGTTGAGTCAGTTCATACCCATAGTAACACTGTATAGGATTCCCAAGGAGCCGACCTTGCAGTTCAAATCTACTTTGCAGACCAGTGCATTAACCTACAATACCACACTAGGACTCCAGGAAAGTCTGTGGGGCAGTTCTACTCCGTCCTACAAGATCACTTTGATTTGGAATAAACTGGATAGCACACAGCAACAATCCCTTGCACAAGCCTTACCCTTTCCATTAGTTGAGTAAACGGGGGGAAAGTAATCTTTATTCCACTACCAAAGGACTGTCCCTTCAGATCCTCTGCCCGTACATGCTTGGTCACTGTGGACCCACCCTCCCCTAAGACTTCTGGGGGCTCAATTGGGAAACCTGGCCAAGTCACTAATGTCTCCTTTTTTCCCCTTCCAGACTGTGTGAAGGTGTTGGAGCTGTGAATGTCCGTAAGTAATTTAGGCCCTGTGGAAAGGTTTACTGTGAGGGAGGGGAGAGTCTGGGAGAAGGGATTTCACTGAGACCTAAATTTAAGAGTGGGACGACATTATAGCAGGCAGTATTTGGATTCAGACACCGTGAAAGACCCAACAGCTTTTGTGATTAGATGAAACTGGAGTTGTCAACTAAAAGAAGCTCCTGACTTTTAATACTCAGAGCTCAGGGTTTGCAGAGGGACAGTCATTTGAGAGACAGGATGATCTATGCCCCAGAATTTTGACTCAGACTTTTGGGTTTGCAGAAGTCAGCAGCTCCCGGGGTGGAATCGTCTGTGGGGACCTCGCTGTATCGGGATCCCGGCCAGTGACTGGCTGTGTCAGCAGTGCACCCTACACCGGGAACCTGGCCGTGAGCACTGGGAGGTGCGCCCCCTGTGGTCCTTCCAATTCCTTCACCTCTAGTAGCCTGGGCAACTGCGGTGTAAGCTCCTGTGGTATTAGCTCCTGTGTTGTGGGCTCCTACACCAGCAGCTGCCGGAAGTGTTAGGTGCCCCAATACAAACCCAGGGCACAAAGAATCTCTTCCAGCCAGCCCTACCCTGTCCTGGTGACTGGAGCAAGTTCTCAACTGCTTATATTGCACTTTAATACCGCTTCAGTTCCATGCCCCGCCTCTCTTTTCTGTGTCATCCCCTGCTCTTTGATTCTACTGCCCTATGCTAGAAAAGAATACCCCAAAGAAAAGTCTCTGGATATCCCAGGAGGGGCATTAAGGGGCATGTACGACCAGGCCCATGACCACATTCTGAGCAAATGGGCAGAGCTCCCTATTATTTTCCTCTTTCCTCTACCTTCTTAGTCCCTGTGTTGTTCTGTGTTTCCAATAAATCAATGTAGCCAACCCTGAACGTAGTCTGTGCCTCCGTTAATCTCAGGGCTGGGGACCTGGGAGGGTCTCCAACATCATGGTTAGCTCTGTGGACTAATGCGCTGGACTGCAGAGTCATTTGAACCACAAGGTCGGTGGTTCAGATTCACCATCAGCTCCTTGTAAATCCTATACAGGGTCACTATGGATCAGCAAAATGACTTGACAGCACTTAACAACAACAACAACCAAAGTCTTAGGAACAGATTAAGGTCTAAACTGAGGATCTCCAGTACAATCTTCTATCTTTGGACTCACAGCAGTCTCACATTTAGCAAAGACCTAACATGATGCAATTTTATCAAAACTCCCTCAGTGATTTGTATCCACCCAATTTTAATACGTCTTGCAGATGAAAAAACTGAAGCCCAGAGAGACTCAGTAACTTAGGCTCCTATAGTGGGTTGGGGTTTTGGCTCTGTGAGTGTCTCTGGTATTCATTTCTGGAAACCACAGCTGTCTTCCAGAAATCAACCCTGTACACATCTATAAACTGATGGATAATGAAGAATACATCTGTCTTGCAAGAAAGAGTCAGAATGCTCCCTAGAAGCAAGGATGGTGGGACTTGTCTCACTTACTATGGACATGGTATCAGGATGGACCAGTCCCTGGAGAAGAACATCATGCTTACTTAGTTGTTGGGAGTGACGGAGCTGAAAGTCTCTGCCCTGGGGGTAGTTTAACCGAAAGATTGCAACTGAACAGTTGTGGTCCAGAAATTTGGCCTGCATCCAGGTCAAGCTGCCCCCTGAGGAACTTGCAGGGCTGCCTCAGGGGACGGGGAACTTGCAAGATTTTTAGCTTGTACAAAGCCATGACTTTCAGCTCAGTCTGCCCAAAAATCTAGCATCTCTAATCTCTGTTTCCCTAGCTACCACAAGTTACATTGTTCTGATAAAGTCCCGTTTACTGCATGCAAATACAACACCAAATGTTCTTGCTCTCTTTTCCCTGCCCCAAGCACCTCCCTTTGATATGTGTATAAAATAAACTTGCTGCACTTGGTCTGCATCACAGTATCTCCATCAGAGTGCTGCATCACACAGGGTCCGAACTTTTACTTAATTCATTTGTGTCTGCGTCTTCCTTTTCTTTCTAATCTCCTGTCACCCCTACTAGGGTTTAATCTCTCTGTGCCAGTCACGGAGAAGAGCCGATGTCCGATGCGGCACTTCATAAAGTAGAAGGTCAGTGAAAAAAGAAGACCTTCAACAAGATGGATTGACACAGTAGCAACATAAACAAAGTAAGGATTATGAAGCTGGAACAGGGCCAGGCAGTGTTTCATTCTGTTGTACATAGGCTTGCTATGAGTTTAAACCATCTAGATGGCATTGAACAACATTGTCAGAAATGTTAAAGGATGTGTGGAAGGCGCCTTGATTCAGTGTTACTACTCAAACACCAGCAGGCTGGCTGGGACTACCCCTACTCAATTGTGGGCAGAGCCTGGAATGGCTGGTGTGGGTACAAAGAGCCTCAGGAGTGCTGGTCTGACTACTCCAGATACATAAAGTCTATCTTAGACTGGACACTCAGCTGAAACACACCTCCTCTAGATGATCAGAGGGCTGACGCCAACATCTGCCTTGTCACAGGGCCCGACTCCAACCAGATCTCTGTTCACCATTTTTCTCCTCTCCTTCTTCTATCAACCCCACCCTTTTCTTCCTTCCCCAAGATTTAGCTGCTTTGGAACCTAAGGTGCAACCACTACTGGGGGCTGCCAGTCAAGTCATTTCACTTCTTTATTCTCTTCAAGGAAGCCCGGGATGGCACAAATGGTTAATCACTTGACTGCTGACCAAGAACTAGGCCATTTGAATCCACCCAGAGGTCTGGTGATCTGCTTCTGAAAGGGAGCAGTAGGAAATCTTATGGAGTGCTCTGCTACACACATAGGGTCGTCATGAGTCACAATCAACTACACAGCAACTAAAAAATGTAACTGTCTTCTTCAATTGAATTCAAACCTATGTAATTAATGACATAAATGTAGAACTTGGTCTACTAAAGTAGGGATAAAAAGATGAAGACACCAAAGATGTCTTGATACAATACACCAAAGATGTATCAAATAACAAAAGCATCCTCTAATTCTCAGCCAAAAGGTCCTGCAAATCAATGCAATACCCCTTGTCAACCCCAGTCTCATATTGTCCTTGTTCCACATACACCCCTAACTGGTCCTTCCTGGTTCTTACCATCCAATCTTCTCGGTGCAATTCATGCTTAAACTGACTCCTCCCCATCCCTAAATGCACAGATACCACCTCCCAAACAATCTTCTCTACCCTCTTTATCTTTCCAAGTATTAGGAAATCCATGGGATGGCATAGTTTGTAGTGAGAAGTCATGGCACCAGATAGTGAACTTTGAGAAAGTGATTTAATCTCTCTGAGCCTCCATTTTCTGGTCTGCAAAGCAGGAGTAATGATACAAACTTCATATGGGTAATGTGAAAAGTAGAACTACAAGGAGATGGATTGACACAGTGGCAGCAGCAATGGGTTTAAGCATAACAACAATTGTGAGGATGGCACAGGACTGGGCAGTGTTTCATTCTGTTACACATAGGATCGCTATGAATTGGAACTGACTCCATGCCACCTAATAACAAAAATGTCATATAATGAGAACATACAGTAGATGACAAATGAAAGGGAAATTCCCTTTTATCATAAAAAGACTTATGCTCCCCACAAAGTTCTTTCTAATTGCAAAGAGAAAAATGTATTCAAGTGACCAAATTTAGCATCACCAAAAGTAGTATAATTTGACATGCTGTGTTTTCTAGTGTGATATACAAAATCCCTGGTGGAGCAGTGGTTAAGGCACTCTGCTGCTAACCAAAACATCTGCAGTTTGAACCCACCAGCAGATTTTGCTGTGCAGTCAGAAAGATGTGTAGTCAGTTTTCCCAAAATTTACAGCCTTGGGAACCCTATGAGGCAGTTCTATCCTATGAAGAAGAGTTCACTTGACAGCAGTGAATTTTAGTGTGATATACTGAGTTATTCAGCATCCCTGGTGCAGTATTCTGTTCAAACATGCTTAACATTCCTAATCAAGCCTGCAGACCAACACTGTTCAATAGAAGTTTCTCTGACAGTGATAATGTGCTATATCGGGACTGTTCAATAAGGTACCCACAAGCCAGATGTGGCTACTGAGAACTTGAAATATGGCTAGTGCACCTGAAGACCTAGATTGTTAATATATTGAATTTTAATTGATTCAAGTTTAAATAGCCACATGTGTCTATTGGCTATCATATTAGACAATCTAGCTTTAGACTCAACTTCTAGTCTTTAAAAGATACAAGGGTTGGAAAACAAATTACATCACATTGTTTTAGTCAGTTGCTATTGTTGTGAAATGCCATTGAGTTGGTTACGACTCACAGTTATCCTCTCTAGGGTTTTCAAGTAGCGGCTGGTGGGTTTGAACTGCCAATCTTGTGGTTCAAACCGACCTTGTGGTCCAGTGCATTATCCTGAAGTGTCACACTGTCACACTTGTTGGTAGGTGCCATCAAGTCAGTTCTGCCTCATAACAACCCTACATACTGCACAGCATAACACTGTCCAGTAGAGAAAGGTAGGAGAGGCTCCTGAGAGGAAGGACAGAAAAACCAGAGAAGGCACTTTCCCGGAGCAGCTCCAGAGTTTTGGATTTAGTATAAGGTGCCAGGCACCAGTTTCCTCCGACCACTGGTGAAGGAATCTGAAAGTGGAAGAAAGTATGGTGATTTATGAATCTATTAGTACACTAACTGCGGGCCCCTCGGCCTGGACTGAGATCAGAGGATGGGGCCACAGCCAGGCTGGTGCAGTGATACGGTGCTAAAAACCGTGGCACTGCATCTGGAAAAACAGGTGTGACATCTTTTATACTTTTCTTTACTCTTCTCTCCTGCACACCTTCACTGCCCAGACTATATACCTTCAGGCGGGTGGGAGCGCACCCCCAAAAGGGTCCAGCATTGCACTCACGGTTTTCCCACAGCATAGTGAGGAGGTCCCTGGGCATCCCACTGAACCCACAAGCTGATCTATGGCTGCTTCTTATGACGTCTGACTCTGTGACACAGTCCTAAAGTTGATCAGGGTGGAACTCTTTATACCTGCCTTACCTAGCAAGAAACAGCATGTCTGGCCATACAGCCAAATCATATGTGCACCTTGTAAAACCCCACCATAAAAGACAAGAGCCAACATCAACTAGTATAGACAAGGACACAGCTATTTTGAGAATTATGCTGTGCATTTGCACATAACTGACCTTCAGAGGTAAAAATAGTGGACAATCTTTCTTCCATTCATTTCTCAACATTTATCTGTACACCTCCACCGTGGTAACTAGAGGAGGGGCCTGAGTGAGTGGATGCCCCCAGCCAGTGTAGGAGGTTCTTACTGGGTATGCACACTAACCTGTGCAAGAAAGGTTACTGGTCAGTCGACTACGGTTTTATTTTTGTTTTTGAGTGGTGGTTTTTGTCTATGCTTCTATGTTTTTTTCTGTTTTGGGGCTCTTTTGGTCTCACTTTTTTCCTGATGGTGGGAGCTTTCTCTCCCTAGCTTATCCAAGAAGAGACAGCAATCATGCCAATATAG